CTTCTTCTATTATATTATTATTATTATTTTTATAGAATATAAGGTGTACTTGTAATAAAACTATAATTTGTAGATGCTTTTATGGGTATAAAATATCATCAGTATATCCCCCCACCATTGTATTTGGTCTGTTTGTAGTATGTGCCATGGCATTTTACCCTTTTATGTTTTATATTCTATGCTTTTTAACTTTGTAACAAATGTACTTTAAGTTTAAAAGTTGTACCATGTAACAATGTTAGCAAGGGCGGGAATCAAACCCCAGCTTCTCTGTATGGAGCAGGTCCCTGAATTAATCTTGGTTGATTGTGTAACACAGTAGCTAGACAGGACAACAGGTTAACAAGTGGCAGTTGACACCTACCAAACCACAGACTAAGGAGAGGAAAGGATCAATACAGAGCCAGAAGCTCCCTGAAACTTCACTGTTAAAAGGTACAGAAGCCCCAGTTTGAACTAATCACAGTAGCAAATTAATCAAACTTTATCAACAGACTCCCAAGACTACATGTACCTGCGGACGTGACCCCTGGGGCTGACAGCTGCCATCCAGCAACCACCAGGGGGATGTCCCATGGGGTCAATGACCCCTGGATTGGGTAAGCCCAAAAATTGGGGAGTCACCAATGTCTGCCAGAGAGGGATAAAAAGCAGCGAAGAATGACCCCCAATTGCACCCTCTCTGACCTGATCAGCACCCTGCCTGCCCAGCCAGAAGGATCAGCTGGCGACCCTTCTAAAGCAACATTGCACTGAAAGAAGCCTCGACTGGCCACTGACAGCAGATTCCAGCGCTTGGGGATAGGCATACTGTGACATCAGTGCTTAGTGTTCATAGCTAGCTAGCGTGCGTGTGCGTGTGTGTGTCAGCCCCAAGGTTTATGATCCCACTTTTGCATCAGTCTAATAAACTAGAATTTTATGATGATCCTGTGAGTTGGTTCTTTGTAGCCAACAGGTTTCATTTTTAGAAGGTACACACTGTACATTTATTTGATATTTTCTCAGATCAAATTGCAGCTACATCAGAAAATTGAATTATGACATTTTAAATTGTTTTATTCAACTAAAACAACAAACGTATTTTGGATATTTTTCTTCAACAACAAACGTGTATAATTATTTTAACAAAACAAGCATATGTATTTTTGAATTTTTTAACTAGTTTAACTGTAAGTGTGAAGTGTATTTCTAACAAAGATTAAATAAATTATTTCAGCCAGGTCAGCACTAGAAACTTAAAATACTGGGTTATGCAGTAAACTCAGTCTTCACTTTCTGGTTCTTGCTTATTCACAGACTGGAAAAGACAAGCTTTCCTGCTTTTTAGGTTCCCAAGTGATTTCTCAATTAAGAATGAATTAGTCCAAAAGCAGAAAATATTTTTTTCTATACCTGCAGAAGCTACTGCTGTTAAAAGCTGCATTCTCACTTCAACAGTCTCTGATGGACTCAGGTGCTTAACTGACTTCTACCAGCTCACTTGGTTCCTTTAAAACTCATCAGCAAACATGCATTTCTTGAATGGTTCACCCTTAGCTCTGAAATGTATTATAGCTGGTATTATGGAGGGATGATTGCTGGATGCCCAAGCCATGGCCAACTCCTCTTCTTCAGCAGTTAAGCATTGACCCTGGTACTGAGTACTGAGAATGTTGGCAAGAAAATAAGCTGGAGATAGTGCTTGATCCATTTGTTTTTTTAATGCCTGTAACTTAGTTCTGTCATTGCATATTCCTCTTTTCAAGGTCTCACTTGCTTCCTTACAAATTTCAACAGCATCACCAATAAGCATCAGCCTGCACTTCCTTTGTTCAAGGCTACAGAAATAGGCTTTAGGATAGTCTGTTTAGCCCAATGTTGAGAACTTTGGCTAGGGTAGTTCCATCTATTCTGTCACAACTTTGTTCACAAATAGTCATCAGATTAGGCCAGTTCTCAATGTACTGCTCAAAACAATCCACTACTGAGCTCCACTGCACTCTCTGGGCACAGGAGGGAAGCCCTGCACTCTGGAGCCAGCTGCCTTCCCTGCCCCCCAGGGGAAGGTAACTGAGGCTTCCCTCCCGTGCTGCGCAGCTGGCTCCAGTGCATGGGGCTTCCCTCCCATGCCTGATGAGTGCAGGGGCTGCATGTGCACATGGGAAGTGCTGGCAATACAGATGGCCCAGCAGAGGCTGTGCCCCTCACTGTGATGTGCAGTGCTGGCCAGAGCCACGCCCCACCGGGCACAAGTGCTCCCACCTGCTGCTGCTGCCATCGCCTGCCAGGGCTGCATGCCACAGGAGTGCGGGGGGGTCCCCACACCCCTCACCCACATGCTACCCAGCTGAGCTCCATACTGCCACCACCCCCGAATGCAGGCTCCACTTTGCCACCAGCCCCATGCTCCGTGGTCCCGCTCAGCCACAGCCCTGCTCCCACTGCTTCCCTACCTGCTGCCTAGAGACAGCAGGACACTGGCAAAGTGGAGCAGGTCCCCAGGGCTGCAGTAGCAGCAGCCCCGTCTGGAAGGTGTGTGCTGGCAGGGCCAGGTTCTTCTGCCCATGAAAGTGGGAGTGAGGCGCAGTACGGTATGTTTGGAGGGGTGTGTACATGTGTTATAATGCCATTTATTTCTGTAGCTTTTCATTTTTAACCCTGTTTAGCTTAGCTTTAGTAGTTATGTTTATCTTCATAACTAAATTATTGCCACCTCTTTTCAAACTATTGCTCTAAAATAGGGGAAGGCAAAATACAACTCATAGATGGCTCATAGATGTGGGGCTTCATCAGCATTCACCTTTCCCATGCTGCAGTAGGCAGGTCCTAGCACCCCACCTCCAACTCAAACTCAAGTCATTCCAACCCACAGCCTAAAAACCACTGCTGACCACTGTTCTACATTTTTAAAAAATAAAATGTCAAAAAATTAAAGTATAAGAAAAAAACTGAAAAGCTTCTAATTTGAGAGTCTGATAAAGGCACATTTGTAAATGAGTTGTACACGCTCGCCAGGAAGTGTCAGCATAGGAATCATTCAACAATACTGTTGTCTACAATCACAGAAGCAAAAATGGGCAAGAAAATAAAAACATCAACATCCATTAACAAATTGGGCAAAGACATTCCTCATCTGTCATAAATGCATTTGAATGGAAGATGAAGTCCTGCGAAACCATGAGTGTTTTTCCACCAACCTTTTTATATCAAAACCACAGTTTTGATATCAAAACCACAATGAAAGGTGAACAAGACAACTATGACAAAATTCAAGATTTGCACTGTTACGTTACATTAAAGAAGCTATCTTAAACTCACTTGTGACAAAAATCTAGACAAGAAAGAAACAAAATACAGGTTGGCATTACAATTACAGTGCATACTTAAATGCAATGTGGAGATTCAAAATTGGTAAACATGTAAAAATGGTATTTTGTCATTAGGCTGATTTCCAGTATCTTTTAATGGAAGCATATGGTATAGTAAAAAAAGCATGCATGCATAAAACATCCAAACACTGAAAATCCATTTGAAAATAAACCCATGAATTGAGGGAGATAAAATACAGAAGCCAGAAGAAAAAAGCCTGTTTTTTCTAGTCACTAGTTAAGCAATTATGTATGTATTTTTTTCTGTCTACTTTTGGTTTTTACTTGCTGAACACAAACAATGGCATAAATCAGATTTTTAGCAAGTTAGGTTACACATTCCATTTTGTAACCATCAGTATACTGCATCCTAATATTTAGGGAATACTGCATAAAAATGAAAGCTAAAAAAAAATCCTGCTTCAGTATAAAAGAAATATTAGCTTACTTTTTCCTCACTGACTGAATCCTGGATGAAGAACTGATCAGTGGGGAGATGGACATTACCATTCTATTGGATGCTGGATGATCTAACCGGGAACAAGGAGTCAAATTGTTTTGGCACAGTACTTTTGGTGACCTGGAAGGGGTAAATCTACTAGGAAACAAAATAAAAATGCATGTGAATTTCTTGTATGCATTAGAGATTAATAAGTCATTTTAGTCAACGCTAGTCCCAGTATCGTTTTCTCATGGTGATTAAAGTGCAATAATAATAGTGCCTAACCCTTAGGAACACTGATCTATGTAGTGTTAAGCAGCGTGGTGGTAAACACAATGAACTCTAGGGCAAATGATGTAACTTTCATTTTTTCAGTTCTGTGGTTTCCAGACTGATGCCCTATATAGCACTAACATTAAATCATGGAAATCTTTACATACCATTAATATGAAAAAAATGAATTTACATTATGTCACAAACATAGCTTTGTGCCCTGAGATGGCTCCAGTTAGCATTGGCTCAAAACACCTTGTTGAAATACTTTTCAAACATTTTTCTCTCTTTATTTACAATTTGTAAGCAAGATTTTAAGGTCCCATCAGGTTTTATAAAACAAATCATGTGATTCAGTTTAGCTCTGAAAGCAAAGGCAAGGGGTTGGCTAAGTGAATGGCAAAGAAGAAAGCATCAGATTAAACAATAAAGGGCAGACCAGAGAGTGACAACCTTTTTTTTATATTTACATCCAACGGTGAACACTTAACGCTGCAAACTTAATTTTGCAAAATTCAATGTTCCCAGGTGACAGGAAATGAATTGCACTACTGTTCCTTGCCACAAAACTGTTTATTCTAGTTGGCACTGCATGAGCCAAAAAAAAAATCACTTTACCACTTTATTTTGGGTAACAGCAGCCCATCTTCTAAGAGAGGATTAGAACTGAACTTTAATCGCATTATGCATTATCTTACACTTGTTCAAGTTGCCAACATTTCTCCCATTGTAGGTGCATATGCATCTCATGCACACAAGCCCAAACTCTTAAATACTGGCATCTGCTAGGGCTATACCTCCAGCCAGTATTGCAACCTACTTGATCATACAGTGATCCTGTTTACTCATTATTCAGAATCCTCATTCAATGGTAGCTTCAAGGAGGGAGAAGCTGGAAGGCACAAGCATGCATCAGTGTGGAAGTTACTGCAGGTGACTGGCAAGAAGTCTTGGAAAGCAAGAGTCAGAGCTTAGTCAGATAAGGACTATTATCAAAGATGTGGGTTTTCCCGAAAATTCTGAATTGGAAAATTTTCTGGCCAATTTTCCAATGCCCTAAATAGAGCATGATTAGATTTAGCATATTTGTTTACTAAATACGAGTCAAATAAAACTAAAAAAGTACCCCCATGTTAATCTTATGTCCCAATAGCAAACTGAAAAATCCAAACCGAAATATCTTATTAAGAAAAAAATCAAATTCATAGTTTCATAGTTTCTAGGGTCGGAAGGGACCTGTGTGGATCATCTAGTCCGCCCCCCTGCCACGGCAGGAAATAGTACTGGGGTCAAACGACCCCAGCAAGGTCGTCATCTAACCTCCTCTTAAAAACCCCCAGGGTAGGAGCCTGCACCACTTCTCTTGGAAGTTGGTTCCAGATCCTAGCCGCCCTGACCGTGAAGTAGCACCTCCTGATATCAAGCCTAAACTTACCCTCTGCCAGCTTGTGACTGTTATTCCTGGTCACTCCTGGCATTGCTCAGGGGAACAGGGACTCCCCCAATGCCTGCTGATCCCCCCTGACTAGATTATAACAGGCCACTAGATCCCCCCTCAGCCTTCTCTTG